TTGCTCTTCAAATTTATTATCAACAGCATCAAGGAGCATTTTACATCTTCAATGTAAGTGTCCCATTTCTTCAAATTGAGTCATGAAGTAGGCACTGGAAAACTCCTTGCAGCTGTTTGGGAGAACAGGCCCTTAGGGAATGGGACACTGTCTCCTTTATGAGTGTGCCTTGACTGGAAAGCAGGATGTGCCATCCTTTCAGTTAGAGAGATCCATGGAACTTGGATTTCTGACTAGAAATCACAACTTCTTGGCCAACTTCATTTATGCTAGTCCTTCARGATGGCTTTGTGTCAGCAAATATTTATGGGGAAAACTGAACACAGATGAGGGTAACCAGTGCAGTCTGGAAGTGCCGTAAGTTTAGCCAGAAACTCTTTGTGTGGCATGTGCTGCACAGACACCTCCTAAGTCTTGTAAGCTGAGATAGAAACTGGATGACGGGAGGGGGACCCACTGTAGGAGAAATTCAGTAACCTGACCGAGACTGCCTGCCTAACTGTTGAGTGAAAAGAATCAGTGTTTGTCATGTCCTGGTCAATGCTCTGTTTCATGTTGAACCATGAATTAGGAAAGTCATGTAACAGTGGGAGGGGGTTTTGCTGAGGGTCGGGCACTTTTGATACAGGTTATTGGTTGTGAAGGGACTGACAAAAAGCGAGCAGGCTTTGATCCATGGTGGCTCAGTGCACTCTGTGTGATGGAGCAAAGAACRTAAGTGCCAAAGATGATCTAAACAACAGGAGGAAGAAAAGGGCTGGTGCTGTCWGACACACACAGCTGCTGAGGAGAAAAGCTCTCCTGCAATACCGAGTAGAGAGAAATTCAATAAGTTCACTTTGTGTGTCAAAACRTATTGGAGAAAAAACTATCTACAGAATGTGGCAGCACAAGGGAATGAATGTAATCACAAAATAGTCAATAAGATAGAGTGAAAATATAAAATAAATGCTGTGTGGAGACAAATGGAGAAATATTGTTAGTGCCAGTAAACAACAGAGTACTTGCTGTCTTTCACAGGCAAWGCATGGAAAAATGTTTTGCATTCTSTTGAAAAACTCRTGATGACTTAAAATGAGAAGGATAAAGATGATAGCTTTGTATCAAGGTTCCTGCTATGACTGCAGAATAATCTGGAATGGTCTTCTGTTTCATGAGCTGTAGCTTGAAAAGGTATGATAAAATCTTATTGGCCACAAAAAAAATGGCAGAAACAGAGMAATGGAAATAACAGCTGGGAAAGATTTGGAAAGGGGAATTAAGCTTCTTGTTGAATCTGAACAAATGTCACAAATTCAGAGAATCTCAAGAAAGAGTATCTTTTTATTTTGCAAAAAGAAGGAAAAAAATTCCGAGCATTTCATTTATACAACTATTTTTAGCTGTATCTTATTTAAGCATATTCAGGTAAACTTCAAATATATTTCAGTTTTAAAATAATTTGGTCTTAGATAAAAAAGATGGTCTTTGAAAATTGGAGGAAAAAGTATCAAAGGGACTCTATTACTGGATTATACAAAGTACCCCCAGGGAACTGAAGTAATACATGAAGGGAAGTTACTTCTATCAACATGTTCCAGGATTTATTTCAGAATTCACACCTGACTGGGAGATTGTAACACCATGGCTGCATTGCTGGCCACACGATGGAGAAGGTGACATAAAGGCAACAGGGTAAATGAAATTACACTGGCTGTGCAGAGAGTTTACACAATAATGGGAAATTTCATAGGCTCCAACATGTTCAGCCCTAAATCAGGAAGTGACAAAAGAAATGAAGCTTTTACRTACCATAAATGAGTGCTGCCTGTAGCAAGTAATCAGACAACCCACAAGAAGAGAAGCTGATTTAGTTCTGAAGCAGTGCATAGGACACAATTCAAGAAGTAGTTCTCAGAGAACCACTACTGAAATGAAACTTACCATGCTTGTTGAGAAGGAAAAGGATGAAAAAAAAATCCACTGCAGTAACATTTAACTTTGAGAGAGCGAGCAGATTAAAATGAGGAAGTTAGTTAAAAGGAAAATGAAAAGAACATCTAAAAGGTGTAATGCAAACAGCATGGAAGCAGGCTGGAGACAAGCGTATGAGAGGCTCAGAATAATCATATGTAACCCAGCTCTTTTTCTAAAATCATAAAAATCAGTTCTCTTCATAAGCAAAAAAAATCCAAACCCCAACACCAAATTGAAAACAACAGAATGCAGATGATTTTTGGAAAGATATCCATCAAAAGTGTRAGTCTTCTCAAAAGAGAAAGATAGGGGGAAAAATAGCATAGAATCTGCCAATTTAAAAATAAACCACAGTATTTTRAGAATCGACTTCCTATGGACACAAAAGTTAGTAATTCTTTTTTGTTAARATAATCAATGGAAGCAAGAGGCCCAGAGAGATAAGTGARAAGACAGGYAATCAAGGTATTATTAATTAATACYATGACTAATTAATTATTTAATATTGAATACTAAATTAATTGTTTTCAGTGATGTTCTCAAAAAAGAAAGTTAGATTCTYACAATCTGATGAATTCTGTTAGTCAGATACTAACAAAGTGTGTTAGTATCTGAAGTAAATGGTATTGAACAAGAACTGCCATGAAGAAATGCTGCCCTAAGAAGTATTTTAAAGGAACTCTAATATGATGTTTCTGAACTAACTACTGTAGCCTCTAACCTGCCATTTAAGTCAGCCCTGATGCCAGAAGAAATGTTTTAACTGTGRTACAGTCTCAAAAAAGGACTCAAGGACTGATCCATAGAGTAACAAAATATAAAAGACACATTTTTGTTATAAAAGAACCATGTTGTTGTCTTGTCTAGAATATCATGTGTGGTTTTAGCCTAACCAAACAAAAAAAAAGACATCATAGAACCAGAAAAGAGGAAGAAAGCACAGGTGACCAGAGATGTGACATGGTTTTATGATCAGATGAAATAGATCAGGATTTKTCATTTAAAAAAAGATTGGAGGAATGGATAAGGTTAAGTCTATGTAATGATAAACGGTGCAACAGATGAAAATGGAGGTGCATTACTCTTTGTTCTTTCTTTATCTAAGTAGGTAGTGGMTTAACCATATAAAAACATGTAAGGCAAGCAAAATGAAGTATCTTTCACTCATTGTCTCATTAAAATATGGAATGTATTGCATAAGGTATCACTGAGGTAAAATTTATGTCAGTCTGGTGTCTCTCTCTGCTCAGCAGCAAGCAACCCCTGCAGCCCAGCTCAGAAAGTCAGATTATTCATGGCAACTGAGAAGGTGAAGAAGAAATCCTTCATGCTTCCTGTTTGCCAGAAATTCCTTCTGCGATCACTGCTGAAGTCGGGGTTTGAGGGTAGGTGGAGTATTCATCAGCTCAAACAAGGTTATGTTTCTATGATGCTACCATCATCATCACCATCAGCCCCAGAAATGACTACCTATTATTTGCCAAACGTTTTGATTTTTGATGGAACTGTGTATCTGCTGAAATTCACTAATGTTGTTTTAGCATAAAATTGTTTTAACAAGCCTCAGACACCCTTTCAGTGGGTGCTAATTCCTCTGTTCCGTCWGGTGTGTGCTCAACTGACTGGGAAYGAGGTAGATGACACAGCAAGCTGCATTTAGCTAAAATCAACCTGGTGAATCTCACCATATTTCCCAAACATAGCTTTAAAGTATTAATTCTGTGAGCCACATTCACTCTTTATAACAGGCAAAAAAAGTGAATACTCTTACAAAATGTTTTCCCCTGCCTTTTGGAAGTTCATTTTTTTCTGCTCAGTAAGAATTTTATCATAATTTCATGCCCCCACACTTCACGGTTTGTTACTTGGTCTATTACTCTCACATTTTACTTGATAAGGTCCTGCTTCCTATGATCTTAATTTCTGAGTTTTGATTCTTCACAGCTGCTGCTTTGAAGTCTTAGATAACATTCTGAGCATTGCACACTGCTCCTGGTTTTAAACTTTTCATTCAACTGCAGTACATAGCTCTGTTTCCCTCAAATAACTTTTTCAATAAATTGTTATATTCTGATATTCTAAAATGAATGTTTTGCTTTTAATCAGGGCAAAACTGTGGACTCTTTTCTTAAAAGAAGCTAGTAACTTCTGTCAGAAGGTTTATCCTCATTTTCAATCCTTTTTTCAAAGGAATTTAAGTCTGTTACTCAGTTTGGGAGGATTCTGAATCACTGTGTATTTCATATATGCATGAAAGGGAGAATTGATGCTCATACTTGTCTTTGTGCCCTCTCTTTCACCACCATGTTTTATTTTGACCCAGTCCTGTCCAGGACCAGGAAATGCAGCTGTCAGTAACTTCTTCCTTTGGATAACATGTAAGGGTGCTGGAATAGTTCATATGTGTTACATGTGTGGCTGTTAGCTGGAAACAAGCAGATATAAAATCTCGGGTTTTACCCTTGCTTTCACTCATCAACATTTGATCTACAAGAGTGCATGTGAATCTAGGCTGCAGATCAACATCAGATAAATGCTTCCCAACCTTTATATCTTCAGTTATTAATTTGAAAAATTTGGCTGAGTTTTCTTTTCACTTTGTAAAATAGCCAAGAAATGAGCAAGGACCTCATCTCGCACATTGAGCTGAGAGTGTTTCCTATCTCAAGATAATAAGGATGTATGAAAGGAGTGCTGAGGGCACTGTGGCTAGAGCATTAATGCAGTTAGTCCCATTGTTTTCTCTCATCTCTGTGTGTTTTTTATGAGAAGAGTCCTGATTTTTTTATTCCTTAGCCCTTTCCATGTCCAGGGGTGTGTCTATGGATATAAACAAGTTGCTCTCCTGGAAGTTATTTACAACCATGTGAGAGCACAGATGATTTATACTTACAATTAGCACTYGCAAATGGACACCTTGTCCAATTATCCACGCTGAATCATAAAGAAGTAACAAACTTTTGCAAGCATTAACCTTCCTTCAGAGCCATGATATGGGGCAGAATTGTAATAATGAAATAGTCTTATTATAAAGAACTACTTACAGATATTAGCAGTGCCCTTAGGTATAGGCAGGTAAGAGCCAGGACTCCACGGTCGGCCCTGGTAATTCTTCTTGCATTTTCCACAGTCTGGGCCCGTTGTGTTATGCTCACATTCACAAAGTAGTCTTTTGTTTTCTTCTTTACAGCCAGTAGCATGAAGGTTGCACTTACACCTAATTTTAAAAGGCAAAAATAAAACAAAGTGGGATATTACTTAGAGGTGAGGTGAGTTTAAGTTCAAATTTTAGAAAAGCATGTCCTATGGCAACTGCTTGGTTTCTGTGTTGTAGTGTTGTTCTACCATGAAAGCATGACAGACATCACAAGACATGACTGCAAAGAGCAAGCTGCAGGATCTTCAGCTCACAYAGGTCTAAAAGCAGAAATGCCACCAAGACTCCAAGAAATCGAATCTTTTCTCATTTTCACTAATGCAGCTCCACTGAGAGCAACTAAATTATTCATACTTTTTACTACAGACACGTCTATAATCCTGCAAAAATTCAAGAGTTACTATTCCCATGAACAAACAAGTCCCYTGCTTATGTCCTTAGTGAATCTGGTCCAAATTAGGGCCTGGGAGCCTGAGAAAATAGATTTCACTTAAATATCTTCTGCAATGCTATACTTCARTAGAAGGAAAGCTCACTATAATGGTGTCTTGTCATTCTTGTTCAGCAGTACAGTTTTGTTCAGAAAGAAAATGTTTTTTTCCTGCTTTAATTCGATATAGCTGTAGTAGCTGAAGGTCAGATGAAATATTTTGGTAGGCACATTTAGTTTTACTTGGGAAAGAAACTGAATTGAGCCTTGTGACAAAATCATTAGATAAACCAGATTCTGCATCTGGTCTTAGAACAGCTGTATCTTCCTTAAATTCCTCTCTTTCCCTGAAACTAGGACACTTACAGAATGGGAAGTTAGTTCCATAAACAGTAAGGTATTTACACCTCTTTCCACCCCTTTCCAAAAGATGTAAAATTCAGCTAAAATCTATTTCTGTTTGGAGTTGGAGAGAAAGTCAGTATTTTACGACCTTTCCTGTTTGTTTTCCTAATGACTGTACATCTAGTAATTTACAGAGTTCTCATGTGGGCATTTGTCACCTGTTCCAAACAGTGACCAATAATTAGAGCAAAACAACACATGGAATGGCCAAGTGCAAATTAACAGCTGTCAAGCTGACTTCCATTTGGAAGGAATATGACCTGAAGCAATTGGCCACATACATATATATCCCCAGGGTAAAACATGCCTGCAGTTGTCATAAGTAGCTGCTGGAGAAAATCCACAAGAATATGTAATACAGTAGATGGTGGAGCATTCTCAATGCTAGAAATGAGGCAGATGAAACTGCTGTTATTTGAGCAATGCTCATTCCAAAGACAAACAGGTTCAACAMCTTTAAAATTGAGATTGCCAAAATTATTCGATGTGCTGGACAAGAGAAAGAGAGTAATTTTTACACAATTTACAAAATATCGAAGTGCTCGAAGACTAAATCAGTTGTGAATTTTCAGTGACTAGCCACTGCAGAATGGAAGATGCCTGTCTGGGCATCAGCAGGTGAGCATTGAACATTTTGGTAAAGGGTACTGCTATTAAGAAAAGTCATGGGTGGTTTTACTGTCAACAGGAATATGGAAATGGAAGACTCCAAACAGGAGTGAGACACAGTAAGAACAAAGCCAGAAAATAGAGTTAGAGGAGAAAAGCAGGAGAGACTGTCAAATAAGTAGAACAAATTAGAGTGAGGAAGGGACTGGATTTCTTTGAGGAGGAGACTTCAGTTTTATTGCAGGGACTCATTAGTGTCAGAGGCAGCAAACTGAACTAGGCAAGGAAAAAACCAACTCTGATTCTGAGGAAAAGCTGTAGTACCTAGTGTACTCTGAAAGGGTGCTGCAGATTTGTAGGAGAACTGAGGTGGAGGAAGATAAAGACATGTCCATCTGCTAATTGATGTAATTATGCACAGCTCTTTTAACAAGCACCTGAAAATAAAGAACAGTGTCAGAAAACCTTRTGCAAAATGTCTTTGCACTTCTTAGGTGCTGTGCTTGCTATACATTCCTGAAGAGACAGTGACCCTTCCTTGGTTTTGCTTGCATGGGTGAAAGTCTTGGATGGACTCTGTCCTTCTCCATCCTCCTCTGCTTTTATCCAGTCCAGATGTATATATATAAAACACATGCATGTATTTATATGGAAGGATGTATATATGCATACACAACTCTCATAATTTCCTTTTACTGCTCACTTTCCCTAATCCGTCCTCGTTTTCCTGATTTCCCAGGCAAGAGAGCATGGGCAGCACAGCTCTGGTTCTGGTGGCCAGTTTTTTCAATTTCTTGGGTTGAGGTTGCTGCAGAGGAAGGGCTGCTCAGCCCAAGGTGCAGCCCCACACCAGGCAGCTCTTGTGGGGTGCACATGGCAGGCCCTGGTGCTCCTGCAGTGGGCAGGGAGGGTTCTGCACAGGACATCTTGTGTGACTGCAGCCACCAAGCTCCACTTGACAGGGAGAATTAGACATCCTGGAGGGCCATGTTTGTAACAAATACAGGCAGCTTTAAATGAAAACAGCAAAATGCATTTTCTTCTGGAAGTAGCTGGCAACCTCCTGTCAAATTTTAAAACCCTGTTAACTGAGATTTAAAACCAACAACCCCCATATGGGCATTCAGACTAAACACACCCAAAATAGACAAAGTAGGAACATTTTAGCCACTTAGCTTCCCAAATGGAAGAATTCCTAAATGGCTTTTCTTGTCTTAAACCAATAGAATAAGAAAAGATTCATTCARTCAGTGCCTTTATGCAAATTAACTTATTTATATGCTTTATATGTATTTTTGAAAGCTTTCCCAGGACAATTAACACTGCCTCCTGTCTTAAAAGAAAATTTGAAATAATTATTAAAAAAACTTTAAAAAATCCTCCAAATCAAACCCCAAAGCATTCTTCCCCCCCC